CCAAACCCGTGTTGGACACCCATCAACTACGAACACAACTATCTAACTATGCAGAGATACTGGATGCCTCCCCGAAGATCTGGCGACCCTGATGTAAGATAGTAAAAAGACAAAATGTCTGAGCAAGCTCGACCGGATAATGATGATAATCGATGATAATTTAATCGATTTCCATCTACATATAAAATTTTACCGTCTGAATGTTAACTCTTGGTTACACGTCCAAGGAACCCACGTTTCTACCTAATTTTGACTCCTGCGTTGGAATGTATCCAGTGTGTACAGTAGTTGATTTATAATTGCAAACCGACAACTAGAGCCATATTTTCTTTTTCTTCACCATTGAAAATACATGTAGAATCAGTCTGTCGCTCAGCTCTCCTGTAGGCCTAAAAAAAAACATGGTCTAGTTTCAAACATCTTTTTTTCCCCAGGTGTTTTCTGTGTAGAGCTCTCAGTAAACATTTAGTCCAGGTAAAAATGATCCGCCAGACCTATTGGCTTCAAAATTAGTAGTCCACAGGGCTAAAACCTGTCCGGCTCATCGCTAAATTAATTTACAAATCGGCAGGGCACCCCCGTCGGGGAGAGCAGCCCCCTCCCATCGGGGAGAAAAAGCACAATTCGTCGGGGAGAAAAAAAAATTATATGTATTTTCTACATATTAGTAGACTATAAAATCGATTAAATAAGCCTTTGAAACTCCTAAATTGTCAAAATTTTTTGGGCGCTTACCCCCAGGGCCACTTTCGAGACCTTTAAATCCAAGCTCGACCACGCCCACTTTGCTTTCGTCGGGGAAATCTGACCCCTCGTCGGGGCATTGGCCCCTTGTCGGGGACCTCGGCACCCCCCCCGCCGGGCAAATCCTGGCGCCACCCCTGCAAATCGTATATTTTTACCTATTTCATTTGAATACAATAAATACCTCCTCATTGTATACTTCATTCGTTAACCCTGTACTCTATAATAATAATAATAATATCTCGAATTTGTATGGCGCCAATTTCAAACAAGATCAAAGGCGCAACACATGTGAAAAGCCATCGGAAAACAAATAGGTTTTAAGCTGTGACTTAAAGTTGCAAATAGAGTAGGAAGAAGTTATGGAAGTTGGTACCAGTGACATGATCATACTTTCGAGCACCAGTACATATACGAGCAGCAGTGTTTTGAATGCGTTGGAAACGCTTGAGCAATTCCTGGGGAACGCCAGCTAAAAGAGAATTGCAAAAATCAAGCCGAGATAATATCAGTGAATGAACTAGTATTTCAGCCGATTATGTGCAATTGACTATTTAAGGCCTTAGAAATTATGATCAGCAGCACTTGGAAAGCTACAGAATTCAAAAAGGTCAACTTTCAGATCTGATTTTCAAGCTGGATTGCTATGGTCAACATAGCTAATTCAGGTATAGATCTACGTAACAGCTGGTGGTGATGAATATTTGGATAAGTCTGAGGATAGATTATTACCTCGCCAAGAAGGGTATGTATTTTCCGCTGTCTGCCTGCTGTCTGTTAGCAATATTACAAAAACTAAGAAATGGATCATCATCATATTTAGTCGTATGATACATAATAATCTAATAAAGAGAAAATTAAATTTTGAAAAAAAATAAGTCAAAGGACAAGGTCATAGAAATTCGATTTTCTTTTAACCCTCGAGAATAGAGAGTGTAATGGAATAGCCCATCATACACGGCCTGCGTATTGTTCGATATTAAGAGAAAGGGCGGAAAAAAGTATCTCCCATCATATACGCCCTGCGTATTATTCAGTATGCAGGCATAGGGTAGAGGTATGAACTCTATAGAGTGACTGAAGCTTGTAATATGTAATGCCCCTATTAACATTAGAAAATCGATTTCCTTGGCAATATTAACAACAGAAGAAAAACATAATTCCATGTATATATATATATATATAAATTTAATTTATACAACATATATAAATTCAATACGAATTGATTAGGCCTATTTTATTAAACATACCTGCTGCTATTTGAAAATAATTAACTAAAACAAAAAGAGATTTACTCTATTTTCTAACTACTACTGTACGTCAACATTTTAAAAAATCACAAGACACATAAAGGACCATTGTACACTACGGTGGGTTTTTCATACAGATGATACGTTTAATACTGGTACGCCGAATTGGTCGGATTTTGATACGAAGAAGACTATTAGAACTCAACAAAATATGCGTAGTAAAGTCGTAATTGTGATGTGTAGGCCTGACGTTTATGTTGTGATTTTGAAAACTTCCCTATTTATGAAAAGTAAAGAAATACATCTTCATTGCTTATCGTAAAGTTGGTTTACAGTTACCCTCAGCACTACACTTTATTTCAGGAGCACTTTAGTTTTTGAAGTTATGATTTGCTAATATTCGTAGTTGTAGTAATATAACAATATTAATTTCATATAATTGTTGAAAAGATCAGCATATAAAAATGTCACTTCTTATTTTAGTTACGCGTTGGCCTATTAATATTATATTCTCGAAATCACCCATATATATTTTTTCCTTGCTTGACTTTTATAATACACCATATGCGCCTATATTATTTCTAACATGAGTGAATAGTAAAATGAACCTGATGTTACATACGCTTTAATCACGAATAATAAGGCACTGAAACAGACATAAGATATATTAATATTACTTACAAATATATAAAATACAGGCTTAATTTTACAAACGAATCCATCAAATATATAATAATTTTGTAAAAGTATAATAAAAAGCAGTCCACCATTGATTATCTTACTACTTATATAAAAATATCTTATTTTTATCGCGGGCATCAGAAAAAAAAACCAAAAACAAAAACAAAACAAAAGCTCATCGTAGGCCTATGATTTATAGATTCTCAAAACTTCCATTGATGAAACCGCTTTAAGGCATTTTGGCTGGAAGGGATATAGATATAACTAAATTTTCTCTTTGGAAGACTGCATAAGTTGTAGTGTGAATTTTGTCAAGTAACTTCAATACTACATCTAGTCAGTCAGTAAGGCAAATACTGTAATTTATAAATATGTTCTTCAACTTTGATCCTCTTAAAATGAATAACCAATTCAATGTTTTAAGTGATTTTCTTTACCGAGAGTACTATATTTAAAATTGTTCATGATCATGACATCAAAAGTTGATTTCTACGACGGTAATTACAATAATTATAGCTATATAGCTATAAATCGAATTTTCCTATCCTTAATTTTAGGGCTGGAATGCGCCCTCAACCAAATCTGCTGTTATTGACAACTCTAGACATCTATATATCCTACTTTTGATCATAATTTCCGTACAGACATCTTTATCTTTCCTCCTTTATGGACTACTCTATATCATATAATCTTAAGGATGAGCTACTTTGTCGGTAGATTTTTTTTTTATATTTTGGACAGGCTCTCTATAACATTGGGCTTATAATCCAATAAACTACTGCTTTCTACATAATATCATGTTTGTTTGATTTGAAGTTTTAAGAAGACACAGGGCTTACTGTTTTCCAATTAAAGTGCTAGGGCCTACAAATTAGGATTAGGATACTGTCGATTAAATTTTTTACTCAGTATATATAAACCTGGGCTTACAGAAAGCTTACCTATTTGGCTAAATCTCAAGGGAGAGTAACGGCAATGCAGTGAAATGTGATGAGCATAAAACGTATTAATTATAATTGTAGATTAATGAATACATTAATATTTAGCATTAGAATAAATTGTCATGTGGTTGCCAAACTTAATCGGACATAACTTAAAACTTCCTAAAAGCTCAGAAATGATGAATTAGGCACGAAATAAGTTGACCTTATACAATTCACATGCACAGTTATAATTATAAATTCAACCAGTTGGTTCGCTTTATTTATCAATAGAAAAACTTATAAACTATCTTGTTATCGATATGGAATCGTCTTTGAAAACCCTTCATCAGTAGTTACATGGAAGCCTGGGACTCGACTGAGTCGCTTCTCGCGAAAGCTAGAGATGGGTAAAGTGTATACCACCCTTTAGTGTGCTCCATGTGATCGAGTGAACACTTGTCCAAGTGAATTCGAGTTTCTCCAAGTTGTTTGTTACTCTCGATTCCTGAACCCTTTTTCCAAACTCCTACCTATGATGATAAAGAAAAATCGATAAATGTATGTTCACAACCAAAACCAACATTCTGATTAGCAGTACTAGACAGAGTAGGCACACACATATTTATTCTTTTTTACAAGGTCACCCCAAACAAGCCGGCTCAAAGTATGTGGTTCATGTAATTAAAAGATTTAAATTTAGTAAAATGAAAGGAAATTAGCAAACAATCAGCTGGCAAAGAAATCCTGATGCCGAATGACGAAGAAGGAAATCGAAAATGTGGATTTTCTGGATATTGACTGAACTAAGGACATAATTAATTGATCCTGTTGAAAATGAATTCTGCATCATTAAGATTTATATAGTTTTATGGGCAGTTCTTTTGTAGCCTATTGATGGTCATTTTCAACCATCGGTAGTATTGTTTTGAAAATATTAGCGGTAGTGATGATGATGGTCATTGTTGGTAATAGTGATGGCCAACAGGTCCAATTACACGCCCTTCCTTTCCAGATATGAATTCAGTATCGCCATTGCATTTGGCCATTTCGTAAACCCGCCGTGCCAACCCTGAGTCGCCGTGTAGTATGTCTTTCACAGACAGTTAAGAAAAACAACTGTTCCAACAATATTAAAACCGATGGAAATATAGAAACTGTTCCTCCATTTTGTACGGGGACCTACCTGTAGAATCCGCCTATCGATATCACACGCGGAGTAGGTCAATTTCTGCATGTAAACGGGATTGGATGATTTTTTGATAACCCTAGTTTTCTTCTTTTGTAATTTTTTCTTGTAGTCCCTCAAATAGGTTTTGACGTATGTATCTATTGATTAAAATCAATAATGGTCTTAATAATTATTAATATAATTTTATAATATCTAAACAAAGAAAATAATTAAACATAATAATTATATTCATTGCCTATTCTTTTTTTAATGTATACTTTCCTAAAATTAGAACGAATACTGGATTTTTGATGATTGATTCTATTGTTCAAAGCAGTCGTCAACAATACATTTCGATAATATATAGGTTAATCTAGCCCAGGCTTCAGACAGTTACATTACATATTATCTTCATAATGGCATATTCACCTATCGGCTCCGACTGGGAAATCCCGAGGCCATGTGCCTTTATTACCAGTACCTCCAGGTAACCCTTACTAACAGTCATATCTAACATTATGTAGCCGCACACTCTCATACCTGTCGGAGTAAATGTGACAAAAGACATCACTGCATTTTACGATGTTCTCAGTGTACGGTAGTTTTCATATTATATCTACTGTATTATTTGTAGGCTATTATTAGATCCCATGTTAAATTGAAAATATACAACAGTTCCCACTCCAACACAAGGCCAAGTTGTGTCTTAAAATGATGGTGCGTAATTACGAACGTTTCTAGACAATTTGAACAAAGTAAAAAAAGTGTGGATTTAACTGGATTTTAAGGCAAATATTGAAGTAATAATTATTAATTTACCACTTTTACCAAATCAAAGACGAATAGTAGATGCAATTCATTTACAGTAATATAGACATGTTCTTCAACTCTTCATATTTTAAACCATACGTGATCAATTTTGTTTAAAATATTATAGAGGGTGGCCCTTCTAGCGTATCCTAGAAGGTCGGTTAATATTCAGGGGCCCTCTTAAATAAATGAAATAACGTGATGGGATTAGAAAGCAAGCATCTTAACCATTATGCTATTCAACTCCGCTCCAAAAATATCCACCACGGTAATATATGTCTTTGCATGTAAAATAATATGTTGTTTCAGTGCGTAAACGGTGTAGGTGATGCAGCTTTTAGATAACACGTGGTAAAATGTTTACCATTATTTTGCAGCTTAGCTTGACCTGGCCCTTCGGGTGTTCCTGTTGGCTCATCGTCTTGGATCGCGTTGTCGTCCTCGAGATTCTGCGACAACAGCGTACTTCTATAATAATAATAATAATAATAATAATAATAATAATAATAATAATAATAATAATAATAATAATGATAATGATAATGATAATGATAATGATAATGATAATAATAATAATTTTCATCATAATTTTTTTTATAATAAAGTTTAATATTTTAAATTTATTTTTTTTTCAACAGGCTATTTCCATACAATATTTAAAAATATATTTTGTCTTTATACTCATACAGTGTTTATGCTGTTTTTATTGTTTAAATTTGATATACTCAATCATTTTTTTTTCAATAAGCCTCCAAGAGGGGAGAATAAAACATACTGGTACATATCAAAATTAAATATCGAAAACAAACCAATCATGTTTAATCAAAAATTCAACAAAATGGAGCTATGAAACGCATTGCAAATATTGTCAGCAGCGTGCTTAACCAGGGTGGATAAAAGCAATAAATTAAAAGTGAGGTTCAACTATAATAGCTTTGATTAAACATTATAATTACTTAGTTTCGTACTACACACATGGTGTGACACCCACACCTTAAAAATACATATCAATAACAATACATCTGTAATACATTATTATGATGCACTATAATATCAGTTCTTATAGATTCTTCATGGTAAAATGAGACGACACGATTAATTTATTTAAACCACTGACATAATCTTACATAAAGATGTCGGAATCTGTGCTGCCGACACTGGCGGCGCTTTCCCTTGACCTGTCACTGGATGTGCTATCTGTTCTACGGAATGATGAACGTCTTCTGAATAAACCTATATTAATGTCAGAAATGTCAGAAGATGACATACAATTTTCTAGTTTTATATACCAGTATATGTTTCACTTGAAACTTCATCAAATAACAATTGACAAATAGTAAACCTCTTTATTACTAATGTTCGTACTATCTAAGATATGTTACCTTTTGACTTTTGCTGGGTGTTCAAAGAAGCGTCGCTGTTGGTCGCTCGAAGAATTGTTTTTGCCTGGTTCTTTACCGTAGGTTGCCGGTCAGATGCTGCCATGATGGGAATTTGTATTGATAATTATTAGTTATTACTATTGGTAAAATCATCTATCAGCTGTGCTGTGGATGAAGATGAATGAAATGCTGGGAACAACCAAACCTTTGCACCCTGTCTCTTATACACATCTAGATGTGTATAAGAGACAGTACCTGATGTTGGATTCAATCGATCAATTAATGGATTTAGAAGGATATATATAGTTTAACTGATTCATCTTCGAATAATATTCTTGGTTATATAAATAAAATTGATGCAGAAGATGACAACGGACTTACATTAGATGGCAAACATAGAAAGACATGAAAACACATTCTCGCACCACAATGGTTCTTTTCATGGAAACAAAAGTGGCGGCGATTGTTTGTGTTTTCTATAAGATATATTAATATTAAAATATATAATTAAGTAATGTTGATTTAACTAGTTGATATAACATCAAACGTAGTGATGTTCAAAATACCTCAGATTTTTTTAAAATAAACTAATTATTTAAATTTTATATTAAACTATAATTTTATATTAAAATATAATTTATAATACATTCTAATTACTAAATTAAGTTACCACTTTTTAGATGCCTTTCATCTTACAATTCTTACACTTGTATATTTATGATGTTATCAATGTTTAGACTGAGCTGTTTCTTTTTTATAAATCTCTTGACTATAATTTACTATTTTAATACTCAGGGTAATTTTACTCAACAAATAAATCAATAAATACGTATTTTTGCCTACTCTTTATTTATTAATGATTGGTATGAATAATGTTAATGATATGCTGGTGTTGGGATGTTGGAGATAAGCAGAAACTGGCGACATGAATTTTGTGTCAATGATACTGAACATGCTTTTGCTACACGACCGTTCTTACCACATCGTCGTAGGCTTGATATAGGTAGGGTAGATGAGCGAGGTCGGAAAATGTCGCTCACGGTCAAACCATGCACCTCATGCACTGTATCGGCACTCAAAACCTTAATCTTAGGCCTAGCACCTGGAAGGAAATAGCGACGTGCTAACACATGGCAATGGGAAGATCAATTGAGAGAAAATTATGATAGTATTGATGAACATATAAATGATTGATATGATGAGAAACACATTGAAAAAGTCATTCATGCTCACAATATATAGAGAATATACAAAAAAAATGCAGGTTATGATAAAGGTGTAAATACAATCAACTAGATGTCCTGGTTATTATACCAAGTAGCGACATAAACAAGTCCTGTGTTCCCAAGGCTTATCTGTATTGTATTTTGAGGAATGAAATAATGTGTTGATGCTATGTCAGCCCCACTAGACCTAGGAACAAATGGTTCTTTCAATCTCTGCATTCATATATATAATAATTTGTTTTATTTTCTATAAAATGTGCATTTTTTTATTAAATTTTCTCAAGTGTGGGAACAAATTCCAACGAAATTTGGAGATTTGATAATTTCTGGTGAAAGATATTTTTTTTGCACTAGACTTTGATCTTCCTTTTGTGGAATTTGTTGTTATGTATGACTGATTTCTACTTCATATCTAAAAAAATGCCTTCTTAAAATATCGTTTGTAACCAAAACGGTTTAAATGTCTTTTTATTCTTGTATATTTGAAAAGGTTTGACGATGTACCATACCCTCTTGAAGAGGCAACTTGATACAGTCTGGCAATCCACACTACTATAATGAGCGTTTTCCCGACGGTTTTGTTTGCAAATTAAATAAAATTGAATAAGACAAAATATAGATAGTAGGCCTAATTATTTTAGAATTTCACACTGCGGCCTAAAATCTCTTTAAACGAAAAGCAGCGCCACTCCTTAAGTCTCTTAATGAGACTCGGTGGCGGGTCCAGGAATTTTAAATAGAGGGGCCCAGGAAGGAACATTGACAGATGGAGGGTTTATCCCCCTCAGCCCCACAATGGTTGGGGCTGAGGCAAGAAGATTACAATAATAGCACCTCTAGATGGCCGGAAATGGCACTCTATCTCAGACCTACAATTTGAATACAATTTTCTTTTTTCCCCATTTTTTTATTTTTACAATTTTACACAATTTAGGGGGTGGGCCCCACTCCCCCTTGCATCCGCCACTGAGACTAAAGCCGGGCACTCACTGCCCCGTACGATAACCGTACGACCGAAATACGCGGAATGCAACTCTGCTCTGAGCGCTAGACGACGCGACGTCGTCTGCTGATTTTTGGTGGCAGTCTGAACGGATCGTGATTAAAATCAATCGGCTGCTTTGCGCGTCGTTTCCTTGTGTTCTTTACAAAATCGCGTTGGCCGACGACTGTCGGGTGCAGAGAGTACCCATCTTTACTTTCTACGTCATTTAGATCCATTTGAGATTGGCGTGTGTACTTGGATGTAAAAAGGAAGATAATAGAAGCTGTGCTGTGGATGAAGATGAATGAAATGCTGGGAACAACCAAACCTTTGCACCACAATGTAAATCAATGATAGATGATTATGATACATGGGCCTAGTTCGGGTTTAAGGGCAAATGACATAATGAAATGTGTGTTCGGCAAAAACATATTACGGGGACACGAGACAGTAAGCGACGATGTCTCACTGTAAGAAAATAGAGAGCTTCTTCGTTCGAGTTTCGTAGACGGTTGAGGAGGACAGGCGTACAAGAATGCTGTGGAAATTAACGTTTCTTTATTTATTGTCAAACTGTACGTAATAACATTTAAAAACAAGAACTGAACTGGAAGTAAACTAACGAAAAAAGAGAATGAAGATAAACAGACTGCCTTTAAAACTATAACTTATGTAAATGCAGTTGTAGATTGGTGTGGTAACGGTTAGTTCACCTTCTGTATTCTGTGTTCTGTATTTAAATCTTGCAAATTCCAAAAAAATGTTAATGAGATTATTTAGCATTGGCTACTTTTTATCTACCAGGTATTAAAGACGATAATATCAAACTTTTGACAAGAAACATAAAAACAAACAATTGAGTAAAATCGTTCCAGTGGAAATAGGATGTTGATATAACATCACTATAGAGAATTACAAAACATAATTGATAACGATCTCCAATTCAATTATCAGATATCGATTTTTCAACGATATGTGGTATATTTATGTGTATTTATCAAGTAATGGATTATCTACAAATGAGATAAATTGTTGTGATTTGGTATGGGCTTGGTATGTGGGAGCAGGTTTGGTAGTAATATAACCGTAGATTTTGAGTTAAGTTTGAATACAGAACTTGACGACTGGCTACTATATGTTTGCACCAAGCCACAATCTGTTGACTGTCGCGTTTAATAATAATAATTAAACATTGCATTGTTCGATTAAATATGAATGAAGGTAAAGAAGCAACTAATTTCTCTAACGAACCAGTAAGCTGCTTGATAACTGTTGGTGACGGTAATGTTGTAGTTCCGACGGCGGAACGATCGTGTGTCCAATGCTCCTCACAGCTGCGAGTACTGCACAGAGATGTGTCACTGCCACTTCGATTACCTGTTGATAATTCAAATAGATTTAATAAATAAGTGTACAATTAAATAGCCACCGTATACAGTACTATAAATCAGTCTATAATAGTATGTGTAGTGAAGTTTTTAGAGATGTTTACGGTTGTTTTTGTCGCTATTATCTTTATCAATATCACAAAATCATCAATATTATTATCTACAGAAAGGTGGTCTTTAATTGGAGTTGGTTTTTAATTGGAGGGGTTTCAGTTAGAAGGGACCTGGACTTCAGTATAATATTCTGTTTTCCGGCGTGACTTAGTCAGGGTATTAACAAGGGAAGCTGCAAGAAGGTGTAGAAAAACCCGTCAGCCATAGACATGTGTGGAGTTTTGAATGGGAGGGGGGAAAATGTTTATGTAGACAGTGCGCTCCCCCAACCTCAGTCCTCAAGAGATATGCCACTACTTAGGACCAATGCAACAGAAAATAACAAATAACCGTACACAAAATTTAGTCTACTTATTACAAGCAGTAAAAATACAAGCATTCACCTTGAGATCTCAGAGTTAGATAACCATTTTCCCACAATTCTTTCACCTTGTCGTGAGCTGGCATTGATGGAAGGCCACGCGTAAAGCACGGAGACGTCTTGCGGACTTCTGCTGGAGAAGATTTTGGGAGGGGTCCATTGTTTTCGTCATGGTCACAAAGGTTGTACCATTTTGTTTGTCCAGTTAAATCACAGTCTGCTAAATCTAGAAGAACCTGAGAGAGAGAGAGAGAGAGAGAGAGAGAGAGAGAATGAGAGATTATCATTTAATAGTGGTGGGGAGGGGTGAAAAAAGGTGGGGATCAGATTACTAGGACCTAAAACATTCTACCATGGTGAATTTAATTTTGATGCAAGAAGAGGGTTTGGTTTGGTTCATTAGTTACGGGCCTCTAAAATATTTTCCAAGGCCAGTTGCACCAATCTGCATTATTATACATTGTCAACATCTGAATATTCGATTATAAAGCATAAAATTGATTATTTAAAATGTTCATATTAAGTTATCAACTGACATCATAAATTATTTCTTGATGAGGAACATAAGTATGTTATGTTATCGGTCTAATTTTTCGAATAATATAGTATACTCAAATATAATTCAATAATGATAAAATTCAAGATTTACATGTTATACAAGTTCATTCGCTATATACAAATATATACATATATATACGTCTTTATGACTTTAATTAAATCATATTTTATCATTTTATCTTTAATGGTAAAGCAAAATGACTTACCTCGCCCATGAATACGTTTCTCCCTTTCGGTATATCATCCCACAGAGTAAATTCAAGTCCTAACGCACTGACCTAAAGTGGATAAAGGTTTATACAATTGATATTATCCTACATAAATCGGTGAGAGTTTTCGATTGAACCAATAATACACAGGCTTAAGTATCTAACTTTTCTGAGATCATGTAAATTCGACCCAGTATTCTCTAATTTAAAATGCCTAAAATGCTAAGATGATGAAGTATCACAGTACAACGTTAAAACAAAGCGTTTGGGTCAATGTATTTTTTTACATTCGCAGATTCCTCTTTGTCGTTCACAATTTGTATATTATATATATAATTTATTATATTTAGGGCCTAATATAATGTTATATATAATACAAACAATCACTGTATTTTGATAAAATATTATATACCGGTAATGTATAAACTACAAATTACTATATCGTTCACTTACATTGCTTTCATCGATGTTGCTATATACAAAAACTTTATTCCAGACTGGACAAAGACTAGCGTCTACGGTCGCCGTTCGCTGTCGGATTGATTCTCTGTGATGTGAATACATTTAAACTGTAGTCATGAACACAGCAAACCCAAAACGTTATTATAAAGTCTGCGCTAATATTGTGGCTAGGTATGTCAGAAAATGACGTTAATACAACATCAAAAACGTTGTAGCCTAATGTTATCTAGTTGTGAAATATGTTATAAATACGTATTTATGATTCTACTAAAAAAATAAAAACAAAACACGTTTAAGTTATTAAGATATATATTTTTTACTTAAATTAAATGTAATGTAAAAAGTAATCAGGTATTCTAAGATACAAAAAAAATAAAAAATAAATAAATAAAATAAAATAAAGATAAACAAGAGAGTACATACAGGCAATACTTTGTAATGCCTGATTCAAAGGTTATTTGTATACTGATTATGCCAAGCTTAAAAGGTGTAGAGAAAAATGCATAGTATAATGGATTTTGGTTTTAAAAAAATAAATAAAGAAGATATAAAAGGCAGGTAAACACTGGATATATTACTGACTGTAAATTACCAAAAATATATATATATATATATATATTATCAAAAATCGATTATAATTATCTAAAATAACTAAATTGTTATACAATTTAATGAATTTCCGTATAATAATTTAAAAAAAAACATAAAGAATGCTTTAACTTCGACAAAAGTATTACATTTATACCATTTGATACTTTTATTTCATATGAAGTGATTTATTGACTAAAGTTGTAAACATTGAATAAAAACAATTAAAAAAGGTGACAATAAAGGTTGGTGACTACCACGAAAGACCAAAAAAACAAACAAACAAACAAACAAACTGTACGTCATAATAAGTAAAATTGTTTAGCTTGGAATTGCTTATTGTTAATGGAATCAATCATATAATTCCGGATCATAACAAAGTTAAACTTGGACACTTGCATGTTTACACTTATGTATTGAGAATGGTAGGTACCAATTCATAGTTAAGTAGAAATGTTGTGTTGTACGTACCGCCGATGTGGTTCTCGAAATCGTCTTTCTTCTGGCTGTGATCTCTGTGTCCACGAGACTCATCGGTCTGTTCCGATCGACACTATTGTGTCTGAAATGCTGTCTAAGGGGAAAAAAAATCAAAATATTCTTTTCAAAGCTAGTATAATAAATCATAACGTATGTAGTCGTGTAGTTCTTTATTTATTTAATTATTATTTATTATATTGAAAAAAAGTGGATAGTCCAAATTGATGAAGAGGACCTTTATGAAAATCTATGGAGCTTGGAAAACAAAGCCCCGAATGTAGTAAAAATGTTTTAATCTAAAAAAAAAAAAAATTAACTACAAAAATCTAACATTACAAATATAAAGAAGAATTTTAAAAGCAAGCAAACCAATGACCAAGGACAAAGCTTAGCGGGCGGGGTGGGGGGTGGGTGGTATTTGCAGAACAATCATCTTAACATGTTCAGCAAACGAGGCAGAAACTTAAAGAAAAGGTAAACATAATGACAACAATTATGATAAAATTTATAACATGAATAAAATTTTGAACTACGCATGCCAAAGTCAAAAGCATAAAACACACGTATGCGTCTGCTTGTCTGTGATTATACTTAAACCATAGCTCCACTATGTACAAATATCAGTTGTATGGACAAAGGATATCTGTACAGGTATTTTAAACACTCATAAATTCAGGTGTGTGCATCGTTTGTCTTGTATAAATAACTTTTAAACAATAATTACATACTACATCATAGTATATGACAAATGTAACCAACCTAGACCGCATAACAAGTATCTTTAGAATTTCACATTCTTCCGATAATATACAGCATGCGTCTTCGAATGTTTTGTCAAGAAGGTTATGTCCATTCCATTCCAATATTTGATCTCCTGTTAATTGACATAATAATGCAGTTATAAATGTTAATTAACTTGAACAATAAAATCCAGTAATATATTTGCTTACTTTGTGTGTATAAGTAAAGTAATTGCCTTCAAGTGGAAGTTATAACTGGAAAATATTTTCTTTTTCAATTCCAAGCACGTACATCATACAGTTTTTTTATTCTTGGCATGAACCATGAAATTAGATCGTAATGAAATTAAGTATTATAGTAGTATCTTCGTAAATATTCAAACATTCATTTTTTTGTTTTCTATGTCTCTTTTGAAGCTGATATTATAATAATGGTACTAATAATAAATATAACATAATAATAATAATAATAATAATAATAATAAATATGGATTTACATATAGCGCATGATGCATAAAGCCACTATGCGCTCGACTTGTTTTTAGCTTTAATGCCTGCTTCTTAAACCATGCTTAAACTATGTTTGGTTGGCCATTGACTCTGGAGAGTTCATCCGCCCTATTACATATCATATTACATTCAATCCATAAAAGTAAGTAAAATCAAAGCTATTTAGATAATGTTTACCACTGCAGATAGTGTATTTAATACTTTACATGTAGGAAGTTATTGTCATATAAATTATATAATTATGAATTAAATTTTTTATAATTACGTTTGATATATACCAATATAGATAATATAATAATAATAATAATTATATAAATATTAAAAAATGATAAAATTGTAGTAATAATAGTAATTTGCATATGACCACTGATGGTAAGCACTATGTGTCTATAAAAGATAGAAATAAGGATAACAATTGTCATTATTTACCTGATTTTAAGTTGCCCTGCACATGCGCCGGACCACCAGCAACAACACGTGTTACTACGGTAACCAGTGTGCCGTCAGGGCGCATTTTTCCGCTAATGATTTCCATGCCGAACCCACGAGCTATAGAAAAAAAGAGAATAAAGTTCATTTTTTGGACTTTTGTCAGAAATGAATATTTAATGTGAAAATATATACTTGTATGAACAGAAGACTATTGGTTTATCATGATTTATTAATACTTGCTTACTTCGGACTGATCGATCATTGAAATCCTTCCTTAGCACTACGTACTCCACTTCGTTAAATTCCATCTGTGCGAATAAAATATATAACATTTTAATTATTTTAACTATAAATACACAACAGCATTGCAAATGCATTTAAGAACCATGCCGCAAAGAAGCCGTATAATTTAATTTATTTTAAGGTACATTATAATCTACAAGCACGATAACAAGAAAACGTATATCATTCAAATTCACGTTCGAACCACCTCAAACGTGAGTAAAGTCACTAACACGTGGGTGTGTTTTCACAATAAGACAGAATACATACAATTACACTGAAGATATGTAACATTTTAGGCAATGGAAGATACTAAGGATATATAACTTAGGCTCTTAAGACACATATTAAAAACAAAACAAACAAAACAAAAACAAAATTCATCTAAATATAAATATGCGGTAACCACGCCACGAATTACAATCAGTATCTTAGTTTTCATTCCAAAAAGTTTGGAATGCTTAATATTCAAAGTTTTAGTTTTAAGTAAGATAAATGAGGCTCTGTGAACAAGATCACATATAAACTAAAATTTTCTAATAAATAATAAACGGTTACACCATCAAGAATTTGAATCAGTATCCTTTCACTGACCATAAATCTGCCAGACAGACAACACAATAAAGACTGTTTTACCTGTGATGACCCCGTTTCTGACCCCTTTTCTATACGAATGGAAGGTATTTGTTGTGTTTCCTCATCTTCCTCTGCCTCAAATGACTTACTCATCCGTCTTTGCCATAAGGCAGAACAGTTACTGTTCTTATTCGCTTGCTGCTGCTGTTGTTGGGGATGATGGTGGTGGTGGTGATAGTCACTAGCAGATATCTCCATACCACTGTCTGGGCTACCGCTCTGAGGGTTATTATACCCTTCTTTAAGACGAGGGTATCGAAATGAATCGGTCATACGTCTATGGTACCTGCCGTGTAATGGTTCCCCGTCAGTGTCAGAAGATTCTCGACCAACTTCAACCTGATTCTTCGAGATCACCCCAGGCCGACGTCTTCGTCGACCGTAAGGACGTTTCCGCCTTCTTGGGTCGTCCATGCGGGGGTCGTACCGCATGTCCAGGTTCTCTTCTGGTCGTCTACATGATCGACGGTGGTATAATTGCTTTCGACGATTTCCCTGGGTACAGGGATGTAATGTTTCTGTATCTGACTTAACCCCTGACGAATGGAAGGCACACGATTTTTTCCTACTATGCGATTTTCTTGATTCCTCCTATAAGGTAAGTACATAAGGGTACGTTGTTAGTAACTAAGGAATAATAATAATAACAAAAATAATAATAATAATAATAATAATAATAATAATAATAATAATAATAATAATAATAATAATAATAATAATTATAATAATAATAATAAAAAACAATATTATCATAAAAATAATAATAACAAATGATAATGATGGACAGTATGTATGTATGTTGGTGTGCATAATGTGGGTATATGTATGCACGTTTGAAATGACGATGATTATAATGATGATGTTGTTATTGTTGATGATTATGATGGTAATTGTGGCGATGATGTCTCTAAATCGTTTTCAGTGCAAATTTATGTTTCTACATAATTTCGTATTTCGATTCAAATGTTCTATATTCATTTTTTTTTTCGTGGTGGACTTTAGTTTCTTTTACCTTATCGGAAACAACTTCTATAGATTCAAGCGTCTTTGCATCAAGGGCAGGGCGTGCCTTGTCACCATGGTACCAATTTCCTGTCATGCATAGAAATTCACGTTTCAGACTACAGAGACGACAGCGCCATTTCGCTTTCACCTAAAACATAGTAATGGAAAAATGGGATATTTGAAATGGAATGTACATTATAACTGAATCATTTACTTTTCAAAACTAACAGTAATGGTAAGGAAGAAAACGCGGCAAATTTCGATTAGACTACGGAATTTGGGTTATGAATACAACGTGTACGCTGACATGCTTGAATGCTACATAATACGGGTTGTTTACATTTCTTTGTTATTTTTAGGTCTAACTTAACATAACTACGAACATGTCTATTTATATTTTTCTGTAAAATTAAATAATTTACTTAACTAAGATATGGCTAGTAGTATAAATAATTTAACCAAATACCAGAGGCAATTGTTTTTCAATCTACCTTTAACTTATCTAAGGATCATAAGGAGTTAAGGTGCATGGGATTTATAATAAGTCTTCATGTTAGAAATGTTATTTGAGTGTTGTTACTACAAGGCTAATTTATTATTCTAATCTCTAAAATTTCAGGCATTATAGTCACGTGTTTGTCATGTTTGATATTCAAATTTATGCATCATACGGAATATTAAGTTAATCAGGTTAGTCTCTTAAAAAAGGTACTTTACACATTAACAACGGTTTTATTTATTACAAATCATATTATTTTTATTTCATAAATTAAAGTTTAAACTATATAGTCGAGCTGTTAAACAGAAAGTGGCAGGTCATTTTAAGGGGAAGAGTGCGTTGGCATTATGCATTATATGCAGTACCCACTGAATATTCCCTAGAAAGTCGGACGCATACAGCGTCGACGGTCGTCGGCTAACACGATTGCATAGAGAATCCTATTTGACGAGACGCGGGCAACGGTCTGTTTTTTGTTTGTTTGTTTGTTTTTTTTTATGACGACCTTCTCAGACTGCGACCAATAATCAGCAGGCGGAGTCGCCTCGTCATACGGAGATAGACTTGCCGTACCCGGTTTAGCATGCCCGATAGGGAAATACATATTCTTTTACACTTTCCTCACGTAAACATATCTTTAAACATATTTTATTACTATTTACCTCTACACTAAAACTCTCGATCGGTTTGTAGAAAGATCCGCAATGGTAACAAACTCTTCGACGGCAGTCGTGACACACTCGTCCAATGCCATCCCCGAACTTCTCATGAAAACATAATCTACACAGGCGCAAGTCTAAATGTTTCTTAATATTGTTGTTGATTCGTGTCTCATGTTGCCTAATCTGATTCTCGATCATAATACGTTTATTTTCCGTTTGTTTTTCGAACAGTTTTTGTTTTTGAAGAACATGTTGAATGACTGCGATCTCATCTTGCGTAAGGTGGGATAGATCCAGTTCTGGAATCTTTGGTTCTGATATAGGCTTTCCTCGTGCCTGAACATGTCGTTTATCGTTTGTTTTGCTGGCCTACATACAAACATAGGAAATAACTATTACTATAAATAACTGTCATTATTAATCTAATTAAACAAAACATTCATAATGTACAACATTTATATAGGTCATAATACAATTCCATTTAAAGTTCACCATTCTAAAACCAGATCTGTCCAGATTAATTAGATTTTATTGACATGCCTGAATATGGTCAGGATTACATCACATTATGACCATATACAGACACATCATGACTATGTATGGGCATGCAACAATTTTTTTGACAAATAAAATTTGAATATCTGGACAGAGGTTTAGAGAAACTATTAACAAGGATAAATGATTTTCAAGAGAAAGCCGATTATAATAATGTTTAATGACAATAATAGAAAGAGTGATGATTATCGTTTGTAATTGTACTATGTCATTACAATTATAATGGACACAGTATAATTATATTAAAAATAATAATATTAATAATATTATAAATAATATTATTAATAGCAACATATATATATATATTATGATAATAATAATAATAATAATAATAATAATAATAATAATAATAATAATAATAAATTATAAAATATTTACCATAAGCAATAATAGAAAGAATGATGATTATCATTTGTAATTGTACTATAATGTTATAACCATGGGCACAGTATAATAATGATTTTCAAGAGAAAGCCGATTATAATAATGTTTAATGACAATAATAGAAAGAGTGATGATTATCGTTTGTAATCGTACTATGTCATTACAATTATAATGGACACAGTATAATTATATTAAAAATCACATCTAGATGTGTATAAGAGACAGATACCAGAGGCAATTGTTTTTCAATCTACCTTTAACTTATCTAAGGATCATAAGGAGTTAAGGTGCATGGGATTTATAATAAGTCTTCATGTTAGAAATGTTATTTGAGTGTTGTTACTACAAGGCTAATTTATTATTCTAATCTCTAAAATTTCAGGCATTATAGTCACGTGTTTGTCATGTTTGATATTCAAATTTATGCATCATACGGAATATTAAGTTAATCAGGTTAGTCTCTTAGTAATAACGTTTTAAAAAAAATAACCATAAGTGAGCTACTTAATATTATTATTGCAGGATATCAGGTTGATACTTAACTCTGATATTTGCGTAATAACGTCATGAGATGCAAACAAAGGAGTCAAGTATCATAACAATAAGGTAATTTTGACGTTGTTCGCTCTTGCTAGGTAGATCATAATTTATTCTATGTTGTAATAATTTAGAATCTAGTCTAATCAGCAATAACGGTCGGGTTAGAACAATAACCTACATAAAGTGTTACCGGTATTAATTGTATGATTAGTATTAATATTATTATTAATATTATTTTATTCCCTCATTTTTACAAGCTTGTATGGGTTTCTTTTAGAACAAAATGTTCATTATAATATAATTTCACTTATTATTAGAAATGTTGCTGTTGTTAACATTGAGTAAATCATACTAATATAAATTAATAGGTAATACTAATATTCTTATAAATTATGAATGTACACAGTTATAATGCATTTTTAAATAAGACTCAGGCATATATTTATACACACAAACATATTTTTACACGGTGGACAAAATTAGACATAGTAAAGTTTGATATAAATCAATGCAGCCTTAATGAGCCATGTAGGTGTAAGAACAGCTTGCTTAGAACATAGCATGGAGACAGAAGACCTCGTTTTGTCGATGACTTATGAAATGACAGAATTTTTACTCCGTAAATTGACACAGAGGGATTCGAGGGACGGTCTAGTAAACGCTCATAAAACCGCGGGTTTAACCCGCATATGTCTAGTTGATCTGCATCAAGCTGATTTTTTCAAATGTTCCATCCTCCCTTTTGAGAAAACTAAATCAGCTAAGGAGTCCTCATCTTAACCAGGGAGTAAATAGGGCTTCTGGTAATTTACCAACACTTCCTAAGGCATAGACCTATTATAACGTTAGAAATGTTTGATTTAAAACTGCAATTAAATTAATGGTGAAATTGTGATTGTTTTGCATACTCACTTTTCCAAAAACTGGCATTATAGCGTGTGTTCGGGGTAAGTTTTCCTGTGATTCGCTATCTGAAAGAAAGTTATCAAGATATTGCAATAAAGATAGCTCTCTTTAAAATAGGATAAACTACAACTATGTTCAATAGAACATGAACCAAGTCAGACCATTCATAGTAAACTTGAGCTCTATTGGATAATTTTAAACCTTTAAACTTAGACATTTTTGTCACAAGCACTTTCTATATCCTGCCTTATGCTAATGCATATGTATAAAGGAAAATCTGCTATATTATTTGTCACAGAAGCTTTTTTTATTTTTCGGAGTTTCTGACCCTAATGAGCCTTACGTGACCTTTGACCCCAAGTTGTGAACACCCTCATATGTGGGAGGTGTCACCGGTTGTATAAACCACGTTTGATTGAAAAGTCCAAACAGTTTGGCACTAGTGGCGTTATGAAATGCTGTCAGAAGAAGAAGAACAGTAAGAAAACCTTTAAACCAACTACTGAATTGCCTTTTAGTGTTTAAAATCAGAGTCACCGTAAGACTTGGTTCACATTAGTCCAAGTAGCATTGCTTGCAATTACGAAAATCTATCTGAATGCCTATGGTATGTGAAATAAAGTCATAGATCTAAAACATAAATTACCCATGTGAGACAATACACCACACTTATTAATTTGAAGCCAAAAAATATATATCATCGTTAACAACAGTTATATCATATTTCACATAAAATACCGACAGTCCCTAGCATAAAATTTGATACTAAAGTTAATTAAAATGTAGCGTCATGGCGGCCTTGAGATTGTATAATAATTACAATATCAAATCGGGACACCAATGTAGAAACATAATCTGTGGAATTTATAATGTATTTTATATCAACACCAAAAAAGATTCATGATAAAAAAATCAAACTTATTAGCAGCAGCAGCAGCAGTAGTCCTGTAATATTAATACTAGTAGTTGACGAGACAGGAATAAATACTTTTCAAAGCATCAGCAGCACTTTCCAACCACATAAGTATTTCCCTGTGTTGACTTTCTGCTGATAATATTCTGCTGATGACGATTGAAGCAACTCAATCGAAACGTCGAGACATTCTCCACCAAAACAACAGTTCTTCTTAGAATTATCTAACGTGGTGTACCGCAAGTATTTAATATAATAAATACTTATTCATTTGAACCAATGTGGCTTGTTTATTGCGATCTGTTTGTTGAAACATGTTATATCTTTTTGGAATATGAGTAGTCATATTATCAGGAATTCTCAGTACATGGACCGCTCGAGCAAGACAAACTTAAAGACAAGCAGTTTTGATTTATATTATTCCAATACGCTTACCATGTACACAATTCCTCCCATACATTCCAAACCCTCCATCAGTCTTCTCCTTAGTCTTATGTTTGACCTGCAGATTTCCAAACCAATCCGTATTATTCTCCTCAGCTGACCAACTTGTATCTGAGCCACGCTCGCGTAACAAATGGGGCTCTAGAGATTATTCAGCCGCTGTTCCAAAATTATACATATAGTCCCATTAAATGTTAGAGCTACTTAGTATCTTAATATCTTTAAATCATGTCTCAAGAAAAACCTCGAGAGATATTACTTTAACAAAATTAATTACTGTTTCAGGACATTTTCTTTTCTCTCTTTTCTCGCTTGAGCACCTATTTCATGTTTTCCTGATCTTCTGGCTTGCAAAATTGCCTTAAGCGCTTTGTGTGGATTTGGCGATATATAGAAATTCCTAACATTAATTTTATTATTATACTCAAAGTTGTTTGCGTTTGTAGATAAACATATACATCATCCATGGCTACTTATAATTTTTAGGTGTACAGCCGTTATAGTTAATACATATCATTTTACTTTTTACAGTTTATGTTAAAGAAACCCTTTCAATATACTATGGCGATGAAGATGATGTGTGCAGGCAGTCATAATTTCATTGACACAGCAACAATAGATTAGAAAGTAAACCACAGTTCATAATACCGCACTTACAAAGAAAAACTATTAAAATAATTTTACTAAATTACATAGGCCTAACTATAAAACTATGTATCATTCGGGTTACGTAATAATAGGATACAATACGATACGATAGAACTATATTGTCACAACGGCATAAATACAGCTATGAGATATGGATCCTTAAATACACTCATATTAGTTAATATAGAAAAATAATTAATACATAAAAATGCATAAAAGTTGCACAACAGAAATTGATTAGAATTAAAATGCATTGCAAGAATTACTGAGTGTGATGGAAAGATGTAAGCTGCACAATATGTTGTATCTATTGAACTGCATATTAAAAAGTCTGACTGCAATAATAATAATAATAATGATGATGATGATGATAATAATAATGCATTATGATTTTAATCTAGTCATCGTCTCACAATGCTCACAGAGCATATCATAGTCTAAGAGTGGCATAGTTTGGTCAAGTGATCATTGGTAAGGAGAATCTTTATCACTCCATTGAAGAATGAAGGCCGCTGATGTCTAACAATTATCTAAATTATCTAACTAGAATATTTATCTCATCCAGGGTGACATAGCTTTCGATCTTAAGAAAATACACTTTCGTCAGTTTATACTTCCTGGCAGTTTGAGACAAATGATATGAAAACTTCTTCTATCTTAAATAACATGCCAGAGATTACAAACACATCAGCTTAAGTAATAACATCAATCAACTCTTCACCGTGATTAGGCAGAGGTTTAGGACATTTACATTATACAACATCAACATCAGAATGATAATTAAAATTAGTTGACATAATGATAGGGGATCTATAGCAGCATTACTTTAAAATTTGAAACTGAGTCAATAAAGTTGTTTTATAATGAAACTTTAAAGATATCTTGACAATGCACCAAAATTAGCCCACGGTATTTTTGTATACTTAATTTCTGTATTCAATGTTTTAGCTAGTTTTGTTTAATCAATTTTAACAATAAATTATAATGATCCTTTCGAAGTTCCGTCCTATCATTATATATAGGCTTCATTAGGTGTGAATTCTTTCTCATTTATCAGATCTTCTGTGTAATGGCGACAGCTTAATTTCGTTCCGAGTATACCGTCCAAAATTAGTCAACGGTGTATAATACTGTATTTATACTTTGTATTGTTCCATGCAAAATACAAAAAAAAAAAAAAAAAAAAAACAACATAAAAATCATTTTTGAAATTAACTTGCTCATTATGAAATAACATAAAAATTACCAACTTGAACATAGAAATTAGTGTATAAATGTTTATCCATATTTTACAGCGAAAGACGATAGAAAAACTTCCATTCCCTGGAAGTGTTTTATTATACTTATTATCATTAGCCAGTTTTTAGCGGAGAATACATGTATAATTTCGATATTGAATAGTTTAGCTAGTTCAGTTTAATCAATTTTAAGAATAATAACGACCCTTTCGAAGTTCCGTCCTAATATTATATACAGAATTCGTTAATTTGTGGTTTCTTTGTCATTTATCAGATCCTCTATTACAGACAGTGTAATGGCGACAGATAAATTTTCGTTTGTGAAGGAGTTAAAGCTACCGGTGCTCTCCATACAATGATGAATTCTTTTGACGGTAGGAGTTTTGTTCATTATTCATTAATCGAATTTATTGCATGAGCTTGAAATTTACGATAATATTATAATATTGTAAATAGAAATCATAAATGTAAGTTTGCCAAGAAGGAGCTTAAAAAGAATGATTGTATTGTCCTCGAAGCAAAACTTTCTCTGTGAAGGCATGTACCAAATTTATACGTTAACAACACATTTTGTATATTTAGTCTGACGACGGTTCAATTAAAAAAAATATTTGTATTAACAAGCAACATCGTATAATATACTAGGTTTTCAATTAAATAATAGGCATAATAAATAATAAGGTGACAGGTAAATTACAATTTCCAAACATTGTATTTAGATGATAATGGTAATTCATTACTGGTAAGCTCCATTAAACGTAACATACCTTTGATCTCCTCACTACTTTAATTCTGTCACCCATTAATCTTTAATTTGGTTTGAATCTAACAACATTGATATAACATATATAAAATCAATAACGCCGGGACCTTCAAATATTATATTGCAAACCGTTAATACTCTTCTACTCCCCATTTTTCTACTAAGACAAAATGGTGTCCTCCTTTTGAATCAATTACCTAATTTCTGGTTCTTTAGCTTTACCCGGCATAATAATCAATACTTATCTACATTAAAAAAAAAAAAAACATTTACAACATGCAATATGTTACGTTTAAAAGATTTTGTCTGATCAATACTCCGTTTTCATTTTGTTTTCTAACTCACGTGCATGGAATATATGTCTGTGCATATTAGCGAAACCAATATACTTCTTTCAACGCGAGTGCGTAAGCATTTGTCGAGGGACAGTTCCTCACAAATTCTCAGCAATTGAAGAATGTAAAATCCTGTCTCAGGCTCTCTTAGGAGCGATATTTTAGTTTCTTGAACTTTGCAAATATCACATAGGTCTAATGCATACAATGTGTTATAGCAACAAATTTACATAACTTACAGACATGTACCTAATGAAAAAACAGTTAATGGTACATATTACTATCATTTGGATCCGTGATACAAAAATAAATAAATAAATAAATTAAATAAAAGGATACTGCAATATATTTGTGTTGCATAATGGAAAATCTGAGTTCTCAAAATAACACCAGCACCGATTTTGTCAACAGATCCCTTAAATGCGGCCATGTGTCTTCCAAGGAAGACGGCTACCACAACAGTAACATTACGGGACCACATGATGGCCATTGGCATCTTCAAGTCACAGGCATTGATGTTCAAATACAGTAGACTTACTCCTGCAACCAAAGCTTCTCCATTGGAGAGAAACACGTTTATGCTTTACAGTTGAATGTTTGATCATTGTCATCATCGCCGAATCACCGAAAGGTCAGACAACAGTTCCGTTTTGGCCGCTTAAAAAAATAATGCTTGAGGAAATGATTACATTGTGTACCTGGTTACAGTAGTTAATCATTGGCC